AAACAAGCTATACATAAGCTATATATAGCTTAGCTTTTTTTATATAACTAATTATTTATAACCATATACTAGCAGCTATAAACAGCTACCAATAGCTATTAGTATAGCTTTTAGTAATATATACAACTGCTAATAACTAAATTATTATATATTAATTATTTTACTGCTTTGCTAATTGCTTTGCCGGGTGCAATATAGCTGCAAACAGGCTACTAATATAGAAATATAAGCTGCTAATAGCTAATAAAATATTAGTACGTTAGTTAACCTGCAAAGCGCAAAAAAACACTTTTAACTATTTATATGTTATATTATAATGTTATAATAAAGCAATTTAGCACTTATTACCCTTTTTAAAAACTTAAAAAAAGCTTAAGTTTAAGTAGTTTTTACTATATATAGCTTATAAATATGCTATAAAACTTTTTATAATATAGTTTTTTTTTTATATATTACTTTAAGCAGCAATAAACTCGAAAATTAACTATTATTAAACTAATAGCTAAAAACTATTTTAATATTTTAATTTAAATTTAATAATAATAAATTATTTATTATTAAATAAATATTAAACAAAATTATTTAAAAATTTACTTTTAATAATATTTTTAATATTATAACTAGTTAAACTTTATTTAATATTAATTTATTTATAACTAAAATAAAAGCTTATAATGCTATTTATATAGCAGCTATTAATATAAAATAATAGTATAACTAAATATATTTTTTTTAGTTTTTTAATATTAAAAACTACGTTTTGTTTTATTTTTATAAAAGCTATATTATTTTTAAAACAGCAGCTATTAAACATAAACTAAAACAGCAATATACTAAGCTTTTTAAAGTTTTTAAACAAATTAAACGCTTAGTTTATAAACTACAATTTTTTAAAAAATAGCAAATTTATAATATTATTTTATTAAACTATTTTAAGTTAATGTTTTTCGATTTTTTTAGTTAATATTTATTATATATTAAACTAATATATATTTAAAACTACTAAAAAACTATAATTAACACCTAAAAAATTAAATTAAACATTAAATAGCTTATTATATATAATAAATTAAAATTTAAATTTTATAAATAAATAATAATAAAATAATTAAATAATAACGCTAAAAACTTAATTTTAGCTTTTTATAATAAGCTAATTTAAAAATTATTTAATTTAAAAACTAAAGGCTTTTATAGCTAAAAGCAAAAAAGCTTTTGTTTTTATGTTTTTTTAACTTTTTTTATGCTTTTTTTTTTTTTTCGTAGTTTTAATAGCAGGTTATTTTTAGTAGTTTTAATAGCTATAGCCGGCTAAAATAAGCGTAAAATATATACTAAAATATACTAAAATAATAATAAACTAAATATTAAAATAATAATAAAATAAACATTAAAATAATATAAAATAACTAAAATATACTAAAATATAGCTAGTATATATTAAAATATAGTTAACATATATTAAAATATAACTAGCATATATTAAAATATAGCTATAATATACTAAAATATAGCTAAAATATAAACTTTTTTTTTTTATTTTTTTTTTATTTAATTTTTTTTAAAACATTAATAATATTATATATAGCTTTTAATAAACAAAATTATAAGTTAAATTAGCTTATAATAATTTTAATTAAAAAGTTATAAAAACTTTACTATTATATTAAAAATATATTGTTAATAATATATTTTGCAATATTAATAATATTATATATAGCTTTTAGCAAACAAGGTTATAAATTAAATTAGCTTATAATATAAATTATATAGTTATATTGTTTTATTAAGCAAATTTTTTAAAAGCTATATTAAAAGTTAAAAGCATTTTTAATTTAATTAAAAAATTAAAAAATTTTATAAACTATTTAAATATTATATATATTAGCTTACTATGTTAAGTTTTTTTGCTAGTATATATAAAATTAAGCAAAAATAATAACGTTAATATTGCTGCTTTTTTTGCTTATAAAAAAATTTTAAAAATATGCTAAACGTTTTTTAAAAAGCTGCTTTTTAAAAAGTTTTAGTTTATTTTTTGTTTGTTATAAAACTTATGCTTATAAATAAAAAAATAAATAAGCAAGCAAGCAAAAAAATAAAAAATATTAGTATATTATTTTTAAATAAAAAAAATATATTTTTTAATTAAGCTATAATAATAACAATAAAAAATTAAAAACTATAAATAACTTTTATTTTACTTATTTTATAAACTTATTTGTTAAAAATAAAAGCAATATTGTTTGTTTAATTTGTTTAATTTAAAAAATGCTGTTTATTTAATTTACAAAATGTTATTTGTTTTTTTAATTTAAAAAACGTTGTTTATTTTAGCAAAACAACAATTATTTAATTAAAAAACAATTAAAAATATAAATAATTTATAAAACGCTATCGTTTTATTAACAAATTAATTATTAGATTATAGCTATATTAAATATATTATAATATATTTTTAAGTATTAACGTTAATAATAAAAACATTATCTTTTTTATAAAGGGCAGAATGTTAGGTGCAGTTAGGTGCGGAGGCCTTATATAAGTAGATATAAGTAGCCAGTGTGCCAAGCCCTGGGACATACCTAGAGAATACATCATCAGATTCACCCACATATAGAGACCCTGGCAGTAGGTCTCTTCCCTGCCCCTATGAAATACTATGATGAGTAAGGATTGGCTGGCGTGAATAAGGTACCAGCATGGTGTCCCACCGTTGAGTTGCATTTCGGCCGCCCTGCTCGCGTGCCGAATGCGCCCGAGGCGAGGGGCGGCGGCGGCTAGGGAAAACGAATAACTTATTTATGATTACTTCGGGGCACGAGAGATCGGAGGGTGAGTGAGAACCACGGCAGATATAGCGGGATCGAAAACAGGCATATAAAATAGAAAATAAAACTGGCGCATGGACCATGGACCATGGACCCTTTATTTTGTCTGTCTGCGAAGCCATGCAGTCAGACTGTCTGTCAGTTCTTGATATTCGCGGTTAATGCAGGTCGGTCTTAATCCTTCTCTGCGCCACTATTATTTCCGATCATTGCATTGGCTTGCTGATTCCACCCAGCAAAAGCTAGCAAGGATCGTCACCAACAACCTCACAATCTGCTTACAACAATCTCACCAACGAGCCTCAACCTCGCTATGACGCAAACCCAGTCTAACCAAGCCACAATTTATAAGCCTGAATCGCCGACGATGTTAGAGATAGCTACTCGTAAATACGTCTGTAGCCAAGCAGAAATAACCGGGCTTAGCGGCGTTACTACCTCCAAACCCCGCTCATTGCATGAAATGATGCTCTACGCTACGTAACTGCGTTGCCTGTCCCCTCGACTATATGAACGCGATGTGCTTCTCTAATTGTTCGATTGTTCGATATTCACAAAACAAACAAACCACTTTAGCCGCTTACTAGCCATCGCACAACATGTCTCGCTACGCCGAAGCTCACAAGAATCCTGCCGGGCCAGGAGATGCACGTCCTACCGCCCTGCAGATTATCAAAGACAATGGACGCGAGGGAACTATGAAAGACAAGGTCTTTCTAGTCACGGGGACGTCGTCAGGCATAGGTATCGAGACGGGCCGTGCCCTTGCCGCCACCGGTGCTAAAGTCTTCCTCACCGTCCGCTCCCTCGAAAAGGGTCGAGCTGCCTGTGCGTCGTTTCTCGAGCCTGGGCGCGTTGAATTACTGGAACTAGACACGAGCAATCTCTCGTCCGTACGAGCTGCTGCTGCCAACTTCCTCAAGAAGTCGCCTACACTCAATGTTCTCGTCTGCAATGCTGCTGTCATGCAGATTCCCACACGCGAGGAGACACCCGAAGGCTTTGAAATGCAGCTCGCCACAAACTACCTCGGCCATTACCTACTCTTCGACCTACTCAAGGATGCTCTATTGAAGGGATCCACGCCCGAGTTCAACTCGAGGCTCGTGAATGTCTCTAGTTCCGGCCACCACATGTCGGAGATCGTCTTCGACGACTTCCAGCTGAAGGGACCCGACGTGTACGGCCCATGGAAGGGCTACGGACAGAGCAAACTTGCGCAGATATACATGGCAAACTATGTCGACCGCCACTTTGGGCCGCTGGGCTTACATGGGCTCAGTCTAATGCCAGGGGGTATTATGACGGGGCTGCAGAAGTACGTGCCCGAGGAGGTCAAGAAGAGCTGGGACACGACGCCCGAGGTAGTAGCCTTCCTTAAGAGCACCGAGCAAGGCGCAGCAACCACTGTGCTTGCCGCTGTGGGTAAAGAATGGGAGGGCAAAGGCGGCAAGTACCTAGAAGACTGTGACGTTGCCGTATCCGAGCCTCTGATCGAGACTATGAAAGGAGTGAAGCCATACGTGTACGACGAGAAGAAGCAGGACAGGCTTTGGGAGCTGACACGGAAGACACTAGGTCTCGCATAATAATTCATAACTGTATGTAGTACTCATGCACATTGTAGTATCGTACTACCTATATTGTAGCATAGTACTATTATGTACGAGGTAGTCAATAGGTATCTAGAGACATCATGGATGGATGTAGGTGCCGAGGGTGCATGCATGTAGTGAGCCTCGCGCTAAATCTGCAGCAGATCGTGCGTACCTATCAACTACATGTAGGTACTGAGATTCATCCATGTCTTGTTACTATGTATGATCTGGGCAGTATCCGGGGTACCAATTCAGCAAGTGATCGATCCTACATATATAGTATTGGTATTACATTACTTCTCTTATGGTATTTTTTGTGACTATACCTCTTAAGGTACTTAATAATGATAGATATAGGTACACGTGCCCAAAGGCATAATTGTACCTCTGTCAGATTAATACCGAACTACCCATGTTGAATACATACATCGTTGGAAACAATACTACATAGTTTGCAAGCAACCAGGCTTTGGTCTTTCCGTCTGCTTTCCGTCTACTCCGTACAAGACACTCAAAATAAGCTTTCTAGCTTATACTATGGAACTTGGTCGCACGCCAAACATCCGACCAGTCCTCGGTGGCGCAATTGGCTAGCGCGTCGTGAGTTATATCTTCATGATTGTACTGGGACATATATAGTAACTAACAACATTAATAATAGTGACTGTTAATCAGGAGGTTGAAAGTTCGAGCCTTTCCCGGGGAGTTTTTTTTTTCTTTCTTTTCCTTTCTTTTCCCCTCCGGATATATCAGATACTTATGTATTTTTTCCTTTCTTTTTCTTCGTGTCGTGGGAGGACTAATACATAGTGCGGCAGACCCTATTGTTACTAGCGGGAGACTAGATAGACTTTTGTTGTAATTCATTCTTAAACCCGCTAAATCCGCCTTTGCCACACACGCCTACAAACCTACCACACAATATACTGCTGAATGTGCTATTCTAATACAGGTTTGCATACATATGTGCACACATATGACTCAGGGTTGCAACCCACCAACATACAGTACTCCACCCAGATCGACGAGATGCCTCGGCAGACCCACCTATAGATCCCTTCCGTTATGGTTGGGGCTATCCCTTCTGCATTAGGGGCAGAGCCATGATATTACGAGCCAAACTTACAACAAGTTCTATCTAAGTTGATAGATGTCAGCATTTGAACAGAACATATGCTTATGTGTCCTACGAATAGTTATTCTTTTTATTTTTCGAAGAAACAAACTACCAAACTTACAACAGTTGCTAAAGATATTGACAAATTTTCAGGTATTTACGGAAAGTATAAATATTCTAATAAGCCCTTTCCTGTAAACCTCCAACAATAATAGTGTAGCAGTGAGTAGAAAGGCTTATGGAGGGAGAATACAAGAGATGGTGTATGTGTGTGGGCCACGTCGGCGTCTAGAGGTGATTAATACACAGGGGCCAGTACATATCTGCATTAGCAATCCATCCACACTTCACACGACTTCCCCGTGGGACACGAGTGACAACGGTATTCATCGGCTCTTGCTAAAAGGCCGAATCCCTATTACACTAGACGAACGGTACGCGGACCAAGAGTCTTGAAGATCCTCTCATACTGGCCATTTAGACTCAACGTCGCCCATGGTTCACCTCGACCCCCGTCTGAAGCCTTGAGCATCTTGTCCCACTGGGCCTGTGTCGGCTCATATTTACAGTTAAATTCGTCATTTATACATCGTGCTTCGTTCTCCATCATGCCATGAACATAAGCATCTCCTAGAAGTTCGTAGTATGGCCCAGCCACACTCGCCGTTTGTTTCTGACCTTGTTTCTGGCTTTGGTTCTGGGGCATTGGGGGAGACGGGATTCGACGTAGAGCCACCGCCAGCTCGTAGGGTTGGAAAATGGCAATCTCATCACCAACCTGTACAAGTCGAGGAACTAAGCAGAAATACCCATGTCTAGTGACGGCAAACCGGAACGTCTTGACGGCGCCAGAGGACTCGAATGCAGGATTCAGCACAGGAGTCTTGGAATCGGTATCCCAATACCCCGGACACTATTACGGGAGATATTAGTCAACAGAGAAGATAACGGCGCCCTCGCCCGGAACAACCCGATACAATTCTATATCCACGGGAGGTATAATGAACTGTATGTACTTACGCCCTCCTCGTACCATTGGAACCATTCTTCCCAGTGCGCCCTGATGTAATCGGAACGCACCAGGTCTTGTTGAGCGTCACATGACATGATAAGTGTTAACTTGTATGCATCTAAGATGGTATCGCCGTTGATATACGTCGACACATCCAAGTTTTCAACGTAGTTCATATCCTTCCTAATACTCTTGACGATCTCCGCAACATTTGTGCCAAGATCCCCATCTTCATTAGCAACGAAATCCCCAACAAACATGATCTCGTCCGACATCAAACATTTGAACGAGGCAGAGCTCTGTAGTAGCGATTTCTTCGAACCTTTGTAGGCTCTTAAGTCATCTGACATTGGGAATTGTCTTTTCCTACTTTTTGGAAGTTGGCTCACCTTACTTCCCGACGCCTTCGTCGAAGATATAAAGGCAGCACGATTATTTCCACCTGCCTTCCATAGAGTCGTACTGGCTATCATGTATTGGCCTTCTTCTTTATATCTATAGTCCGGAACCCAGGAGGGGAGAGCAGTTCCAGGTTCCTGCCGGACCCTGCCTGCATTTTTCAAGAACCGTAGTGAGTCCACATCGAGAAATCGCCGTGCAACATCAGTATACTAGATTATGCGTAGTTAGCCTTATAATATCTTATACAATTAAGACAGAGGATGGCATAAGCCTATTTAACGAGACGTTTAGTTTGAAGATTATTCGGGTTAGTCTGCCGGTCCAGGCAACTTACCAAAATTTCCCATGGGACTCGATAGTCGACCTCAAACCACTGGTTCGAATCAACTATGATATTTCCCATGGCATAGATTCTATCTCGAGGATCCGTTGCCTCGTAACGAGAAACAGTCTCGATTAAGCCCTCGAAACTTAACATGATGTCAGAATGGCCGTATGCGTCCTGGAAATAGTAGTGTCGGGCTCTCTGTATTATCCTAATAGCCTGTATGTTATTGATTGTTCGGGTGAGCTGTGAATGAAGATCATCTGGCCACGATTCGGTATACCGCGGGCACATAATCCACTATGTCACATTGTTGTTAGTCATCTCGAATTCAACACATCCGACCTTTCACAACTTGCAGTGGCGTAGTATACACCGCATTCGACTGTGCAATGGAGATGCCTCCAATACGCGAGAACAGAAAAATAAGGGAGGGACTGAGGTATCCTACAGCTAAAGCGAATATGTTGTCCCAATCTACAATGTCTGGGCCACAGATGACTCGCACATTCTGACACAACGAGGCTTCCTGCTGAATCCAGACGCGAGAGAACCACGGCCTATTAAGAAAAGTCACAATAGCAACCGCAAGCTTTCGTAACTGATTGTCGTCGGTGCCGACGTTGAATGAGTGGTCAAAGAAGTATGACTTCTCTCCAAACCTAGACCAATTCGCACCAAATTCACAGTACGCGAACTCCCCGGCGGATTTTGCTGCGTCGAGCATCGCTGCGTACGCCATCGCGGTAGAGCTATGCTATGGAGCACTCGGAGTTAGTAATTACTATTTAGAGCGCGCTTTATGGAGGTTTTGGAAGTTTCCAGGCAATCTCTCATCCCGAAAGGAAATCTGCTGCTCTGAAACTTGCCAAAACAAGAGGGAAATAACCCCGAGAACTCACCTCATCAGGACGTCCCAGCCACACCCACGTGGCACCCGCCCGCCGATAGATGTGGTGCATTATGGCAACCTGCGCAGCACGCTCGTCGAGGCTGCACTGATTGATACAGACAGCATCTATCCAGACTCTGCGGGGTTCGTCGGGTCTCCGGAGATCCAGCATCATGTGGAAAGCATTCCTCTGCACCCGGAGCTGCAGACCGTCGCAACTAATCAATTCTGGGCTCTCTGGTGAGCCCCAAGTGTACGAGGTGGCATCGTAACGGCCCTGCGCCTCGTCGAGCGTCGTGGGAACCAGCTCGGTCCTCAGGGTATCGCCGAGCTTGCCAGGGTGAATGAGGAGGAGTCGGAGGGGCAAGTCACCCTCGAGCGGCTGGTACAACGAAGACGCGATCTCCAAGTTCCACTTGTCCATGGTCCAGGCTTCTTACAGCTTGAAGATCATCTCAGGATAGAATTTTCGGGCAAGCGAGAAACCCGTCAGACGTCTCGGATTGGGGGAGCAGGGAATCCCCTCTTCTCCGCTCTAACGCATACGCGCTTATCACCGCCAAGAATCGGACCGCGACGCTTGAGCCTGTCGCGCTTCGACATTTCCAATTTGGGTGACATGCATCGAGGCCGCGCCAAGTTGTGGATTGATTGTAAGAACCGTGTAGCCGTGTAGTCCTCCTAGACATGTTTGCACTCTAGAGCATTGATCATTCATTTCTTAGGCCTACCGCCGGCCTTCTATGGCGACTTGAGGGAGGGCTTCCGTGCTACTCATCACGCCATGTAATACGGTTTCATAAGATCATGAGGTGGAATACGTGGCAAATTTAAATACCAGATCTAGTCCTATGCAGAATGAATGAATGAGAGGAAAGGTTCAAGTTTCAAAAACGTAATTTTAAACGCAGATTACAGACATGTTTGCTCGAACGCCGCAATAATCAATTTATACGAGGTAGACAACCCTATTCCACCGGCAAATACTAGTGATATCATTCCGACCATTATTTAATCCAATGCCGTGAAAGAATATGATTAGGATTGGAGCAATACCTACCGGCTCTATAACAAGGCAGACAAAGATCGAAATCGTCTGAAACTTGACCACCACCGGGACAATTACAACAATCTAAGAGTAGATATTAAAGTTAATAACATAGCCAACTAAAATATATGGAGAAGAAAGGAAAGAAAGGTAGACCTACGGAAAAAGGTACCTCCAGTTATGTGACTTTTGCATCGCGTACAGGAGCCCCCTTTTTTGAAGCTACGGGTCGATCCCTTGCGTCTACAGGTGCTAGGATATTTGGTCTCGTGGTTGCTCGACATAAGGTATAATAGCAGAATATGCTGGCTAGGCTGCTTACAACGAGATCCACTACTATAACAAGTATGGCATAGGTTGTAATGGTCCGAGCCCGGTTTATCTTCGCAGGCGCAGCAGTCTATAGTTTTGAGAATAGGATTGGTTAGCATAACGCCTCGTTCCCCGTAATGAAGTGTCTCCCCTCTTGAATTTCAATGACAGCAGAGAGTCGAGTATAATAATGACATACGATAGAAGCTCCCTTGATTAGCTGGCCTATTACAGCTAGAGCAAACACGGGCTACTGTGTCTCTGCTGCCTGGACAGTCGCGGATGTATCCCGGGCAATTGGAACTATCGATTGCACATAGACTAGAGACCGATTTGTGGCCACCATCGCAGCGCTTGCCCAACAAATAGCATTCGTCACAGAGATCAAATGAGCCGCACTCGAAACAATCTAGCCTTATGTTAGTCTCACCACGTTACTTTCTCAGGGTTCTTTGGTGGGGTACTGACGGAAGACTCTCCCTTGACGCACTTCGGCTTGGCAAAAATTGCACTGGAATAAGAATTTTTGTCTCAGCTCTGACCTTGAGATGCTAGAACCGGTCCTAGGTTTCCAGATGCCGTAACCTGGCGTCGCCGA